GAGGGAGGGAGGGAGGAGGGAGGGAGGAGGGAGGGAGGGAGGGAGGGAGGGAGGGAGGGAGGGGAGGGAGGGAGGAGGAGGGAGGGAGGGAGGGAGGGAGGGAGGGAGGGAGGGAGGGAGGGAGGAAGGAGGAAGGAAGGAGGAGGAAGGAAGGAAGGAAGGAAGAAGGAAGGAAGGAAGGAAGGAAGGAAGGAAGAAGGAAGGAAGGAAGGAAGGAAGGAAGGAAGGAAGGAAGGAAGGAAGGAAGGAAGAAGGAAGGAGGAAGGAAGGAAGGAAGGAAGGAAGGAAGGAAGGAAGGAAGGAAGGAAGGAAGGAAGGAAGGAAGGAAGGAAGGAAGGAAGGAAGGAAGGAAGAAGGAAGGAAGGAAGGAAGGAAGGAAGGAAGGAAGGAAGGAGGAAGGAGGAAGGAAGGAAGGAAGGAAGGAAGGAAGGAAGGAAGGAAGGAAGGAAGGAAGGAAGGAAGGAAGGAAGGAAGGAAGGAAGGAAGGAAGGAAGGAAGGAAGGAAGGAAGGAAGGAAGGAAGGAAGGAAGGAAGGGTTAAAAGCAAAATTGATCTTTGTTGAAAATGTCTCAGAAAACAGACTGGTGAAGCTTTCTTCAACATATGCAATTCGGAGTCTTCCTGTAATGATATATCTGAGAATGTAATGAGATATCTGAGAAACAGAAGATGCAAACATGAAATACAAATTGCCTTACTACTCTGCCATTTGAAACCTAATCGAGGGTGGTACTTTTTCCCTCCCACTACTAATGGCACAGTTGTGAAATCTCTCCTATACTAACTTTTTCATGGATTACTTTTACAATGAAAGAAAAAGACAGCATATTAGTTTCCACACATAAGCTCACTCAGGGAATGTGACCAGAAAACTTTCCCCTTGGTTACAAATTTTCTGTTTAAGTCAAATTATATTCCATATGAAGGTAAGCTTGAAACCATGTAGGGTTCTGAAGGTAGCTTTTCTTTTCCATAATTTTGTTGTGGTCTAAGCTGTCCACTAAGGAAGGTGAGAGGAAAGATTTCAATAAAGTAAACTGATTTGAAGGAAACTGTTTTTTTCATTGCTGGGTTTTCTTTTGTTTCTTTTTGTTTGTTTGTTTGTTTGTTTGTTTGTGTGATGGGGTTTTTATTTTCATTTAAATTTTAGGCCTGTCAAAGAAATAAAAAAGAACTATGAAAAAATCTGGTTTATCACTAGAATCTAGATGAAGCTGAGAATTTTTTTTAGCTGTATATATCATCATTCTTTTCTGTGTCCTATTGGTTTGCCTAATATTTGTCTTTTCATTTTATTAATAAATAGGAAGTAAAACTTCAAGGCCAGAACCCAGTCCTACTAAATTTCAGGATTTAAATCAATGTGACATAGGAGGGTAAAAGCACACTTGCATGGTAGCAAGTCTTACTTCATGTAGAAAATTATGCATTTCCATTAAACAGGTCGTAGAAAATTGTGCATTTCCATTAAACAGGTCTTCAAAGCACTTTGAAACAAAACACAGAATACCTGACTATGGAAGAGATGTTAAGACCTTCATAGGTCTGAATTGGTTTCGTTTTGTTCTAGGATTGTTGCCTTTCATACCACACAAGAGACCTGAGTATCTCAGATCTATAATTGTAGCTGGTAAAAAAATAGGTGAAAAGATGCTTTACATCATAAAACACTTTTCTTTTTGATCTAATCAGTACACTGTTATTAGCTGTTCAGTATAAAGTGATTTCTTTCTTTATTTTTTTTTCAATTCAAAAAAACATATATTTTTTTGTGGTATAATGGAAATTTTCCAGATGCCACCAATAAAATAAAAACCCTCAAAAGCCATAATATTCATGTAAATAAGAAATCTGCCAAGTGTGTGGCCACAGGGGATGCAGTCAGGCATTCCCCTGCTGGTAGAGCCCTGCTATGTTTCCAAAGATCAAAGGAAATTCCCTTTTAGTGAGACAGGTTCTGTTAATGTATCAGTTTGCTAATAGCCTTCACAGGTTAGCTGTTTTGCCTAATATTTAGTTTGTTCAATCCACTCTTTAAAAATCCTGGCTTGGAACCTTGCAGATGATGCCTGAAGTGCTGAGTGTAGATTGTGCCTATGATCTGAGCAAAAGTCATTTATGTGGAAGCTGAGGCCAAGTACAGGTCAGGATGAGGGGGAAAAGAAATAGTCCTAGCCTTGCATCCAAGCAGTGACCTACACACTCTTTGCAGTGGTTTAATGTGCTTGGATGACAGGAGGAAAGAGAGTAGCTAAGTGTTCACAGCTTCCTCATTGATGGCTGTACTGCTGGCCTGGAGGAGATGTGCTTGCTGACACCTCAGTGCCCACAGTATGGTAAAAGGGCACTCAGAATATGTCTGTATCAGGTAGGACTTTATTTTGAGCCAGCCAAAATATCAGTTGCCCTGAGAAGAGAAGTCACTGCCTGTGCCAGCATACACTTTGATACATTTTATTCACCACAGTCTTCTCCTTTTCTCCATGGTTTTTGGTTGCAGAAGTGTCTTCTTAAGTGATCTGAAACTGGTAATCCTAACCTTAGGGCCTTTCTGACTGCATTCAGAACAAAGATAATTTCCTCGGGACCATAGCTAAAGCTACACGCTGTTAGAAATAGTGGATTTGCAATAAAGGATTGAAAAACTGAGTGAAGAGCAGTGTGACATGAAGTGGTGAGTGTCCCTGTCCTCTGGGTCAGACAACTTACTTCCCAGCAGTACCATGCTAATGTAAAGGCCCTAGTGAATAGGTGACTGCATATGAGTCCTGGATTTAACCCTCAGCTGAACTTCTGCTTGATTCTGAAAATTACTTCTTGTTTTTTCTACTTGTTGACTCCATGCTTCCTCTAATTTCCAAAACATGCATTTTCCTATTGTATGGACTATTTTACCTGGCACATTACCTTTTTTCCTGCTGCTCTAGCTGGTATGTATAATGCTTTAAAGCATTTGTATTAATACTGAGACCTTCAGGGCTGCAAGACAATTCTGTTGCCAGGACATGTCAACCACCCTGTTAGGAGAATAACTGGCTCCCCGATGGAAAGGAAGATGTGCTTGTGTGTGAGGCACCAGCCAGCAATTCAGAGAAGCTATCTGTAATGCCTGATTCTCTAGCATTCCCCTTGTGTTCTCCTTGCCAAATGCGACAGCTCTGCAACTTCAAAAGGGCAATGTTATTTATCTGCATCAAAAGTAGGAGAGGTGCAAAAAGGGACCAGGGGAGGAAGCAGAGATGAACTAACTTCTGTAGCATCTGAACAACACCCAGCTCAGGTTCTAAAATATCCAGATTGCTATCAAAGACAAAAAATGGCCTAGGACCAAGATGCTTGATAGAAATAGATGTAGTTGAGAACTGTAAAATCTGTTTGATATATGAGAAGCTGTGTAATTTGACTCCTTTCTCTAAAACTGGATTTACAAAATGTGGTGGAGACACAAAAGGAATTCTTTTGGTAACAATGACTTCGCAGTTGCTGTAAGATATGTCTGACCTCTACTGATTTTATGGCAACTGAGATGGAGATTTTGAGTGATTATTTTGCCCCACATAAGCATAATATAATTCACTGTGCCTTAAGTCAGTGATCTGAGGACACAGTGTACAAAATAGATCAAAAAATTTGTCTGAGACTGTCTTCCAGATGTTGATATGGGTGGGAAGGTATGTTGAAGCACCTCTCCATCAGATATTAAAGATAGCTAAATCCAGTATGACAAACTAAGTAGAGAAAGATAAATGTCACTTTGTGATAAAAACAGGCACACCTATCAAATATGATCTTCATAAATACTATGTAAAATCAAAGTAATAGCTACAAAAAAACCTAAACTGACCCTCTTTTTAATACCACAGGATAGTCTTTTTCTTTTTTCTGCAACTGTTGCATTATTGTGTAGCTATGAGACCCTTATAATTGTAATGATGAATACATATACACAGCTCTTACTTCCCTCTAAACTGATCCAAAGGGATCACCTAGAAAGCATGTCAATACATGTGCATTCACAAACAATAATTACACTTATAATCAGTGGTAGGAATTCTCTGCCTAATCCCTGCAAATATTTAGGAAAAGCAATATATTAGGTGATTGTTTTGAGTATTCCCCATTCTCAGTTTGTTCTGAAGCACATGCAAGGTACAGTAAATATAAATGATGAAATCTTTCTGAATTCTGTCATACAAATTTGCTGTAAACAAACTGAGCAGCAGTTATGCTACAGCCATTATGTAAGTGGAGCACTAAAAAAAAAAAAAAACCAAAACAAAAAAAAAATCAAAGAAAAAAACACCAAAACAAAACAAATACCCAAACAAAAAAACCCACAACTGGTTTGAAGCCTCATTATACAAATTAAAACAATAAAATAGCCCAAGATGGCTATAGCAGGTACCTACAGGCTCTTAATTAAATTTTTTACTTATATGTAGTAATGCTGACCACAAGACACTTTGATTCTATAGGATTTCTTTTGGAGATGTCTGCTGGTTTGTGCAAGATCATCTCTGGAGTTGCCCTATACACAGGCAAATCCCAGTGCCTTAAGGAACAGCAGTAAGGAACACAACTTTCAGGAATATATTTTGAAGAGAACAGGTGCACATTCTTCTCTTGCTGTGTCCTACTTTTTGTTTTAATATGCTGAGGTTTTGTTTGCTTCTCAGAGTGTGAGATTTTCAGCATAGACTGGATGACTAAAGAGGTGTGTTCCTTCCTCTGCCAAAGACCTTCTGAATACTTAAGGACTAGCCCTTCCCTATCCTCACAGAAACTCTGTACAAACCAACCAGATTTTAGGACCCTAAGCTACTGGCAGATTTCCTTGTGAGAATTAGCATTTTTAAAATACTGACTTAGAAATAAACTTCAGCCAAAAAAAACTTAATCTACACTTCCCCAGATATTTGTGCATACTTCCAGAATATAGTAACATGTCTTCTCTGCACCCAGATAAGCTTATCCTCACTTGTGCAGAAAGAAGTACTTACTTCCAATATCTGGCCGCAGCTTTTTGTCATACTCTCTCAAGAGCTTGTTTAGTATCAGAGTCACATCTGTGTCTTGTGTTTTTGGAGCTAAAACCCATTTTTGGTTAGTTGTTCCATCTTCATATTCATCCTCTTCAATCTTTCTAGAACTGCAAAACAAATGAAACAAAGATATATTATTTTACATTGTTAAAATAGTAGGCAACAGGATGCAGCAGGATGCAACAGGTGCAACAGGATTTTCTCATTAACAATTGTTGAGTATCTGTGGATGGGTCATGATTGACAATTGTTTAGAAGTTTTCTTCTGAAAGTGTCTTCAGAAAGTTATACTATAGAAGATAATACAGCTATCAGAGTAGTATTTTATATCCTGTATTTTAATGAACCTGTTCTGACTAGTTTACAATATACTTTACAGAGAGCGAACATCTGCAGTATTACTTTATTAATACATCAAGACAACTGATTCATCTCTTGCACAAAGGCTAATAAGAGTATTAAAAATTCAGATCTGTTAAGGCTTCCTGATCATTTTATCCTATTAATAAATTATTATACTCTCAGTGCATGAATTTCAGCGTTTAATGTATTACAAGGATTAGAATTAAGAGCTCATTCCTTGAATTTGAGATGGATTATCACAAGCACAAAAACACATTGAATAAATTAATGTGCATTTCCCTGCAGCTCTAGTAACTTTTTTTAAAAACAGTACTACACCAGGAGCTGCAACTTTGTTCCTTTATAGGTGGATTATGTTTATTTTAAGGGTATATTTATGCAAATGTAGTGAAACTACAGTTTGGCCAGAAATCACAGCAAGAGCTATTTTCACACAAGACTAATTTCATTTGTGCAGCTTTTTGTGAATGAACTTTAAAATGTTGATTTGAAGATGATATCTTCATCAGATGTATCTTTTGGTATCTTAGAAACCAAATCTGTTTGATGCCTCTCACTGGAGAAAATCTATGACAGACTGAAATAAGTTATTAGGAGAAAAGATAACCTCAGTGGTGGAACCTATGGAAGGAATCATATGTTATTTCAACCTGCAATTATACAGAGGATATTATACCATTTTGCAACATTTTTACATAAATGTCAAAAATTATGTGAGGTGCAAAGCAGTGAAGAACAAGAGGAACCAGCCTTGTTTGTTCATGGGATGTGCTACACACATCTGTGCAACTTTCTTTCTCTCCCTCTCCTTTTCTCCATAATGACACTAGTGTATTTTAAAATACCTCAGATGTCCAGAAGATTTGATAAATACTCTATGTGAACATAAAAAAAACTGATACAAATATAAAAGTTTAATCACAGAGCATCATCAGCTCTCACATTGCTTGAAGACCACTATTTGAGAATGTAATGAAACTTTAAACTGAAACTGCTTTACAGCCAATATACCCCTAAAGATTCATCATGAATCACTTAACATGACCTCACAATTTGCAATTGCTGCAGGCACAATTTCTATATAAAAATAATTCTTAAACCTAGACTCTGGGGATTTTCTTCAGAGAGCTCATATAGCTGAGTTGTAAAAGTAGAGAATACTTAGGACAAAATTTTGAATAGAGAACCACTACTTTTCTGTTATTTTCTAAAAACTTTACTTTTTTTTTTTTTTTAATAACTCACCCAATGAGCATTGAAAAACTCAAGAGGGTTTTGGGAGAATTTTTTTTTACCATCACATTCATTATAAGCCCTGTGTTTTAATACTGCTGTTACAGAACCATTCTCAAAGGAGGTATCATCTCCGAACATACATGGTTGGTATTTCTGAGCTGAAGCTCTGCAGTGATGCTGAATTGCTGATAGCAAAGAAGGACAAATCATATGTTTTTTTCTGCTGCAGCCACCACAACTTTACCACAGGAATTCAGACTGCACCTGGAAATGAGAACTGAGTTCAGGTAGTATCATGATTCCTATTTCAGAGAGATGCTGCTTTAAAACAAATCATAAGCACTGGCAGACCTTTTAGATCCCCTCACTCTAGCAGCTTCTTTCCTAGAAAGTACCTCCAAACCATTTAAATTCTTACCTATCTTCTCAATTAAGACTGGAGATGGGAGAGGTTTCACAGTGGATAAGACTAATACACTAGACACATATTTTTCAAGCTTTTCTGCTTTCTTCCTTAAGAAGTTACTATTTCCCTTCCATTGCTTGCCTCTACATAGTTAAAGCATAGCGGTCCTTCAAGGCATTTGAGGTTGCATTTTTCTTCTGTAACCCTACTGGTGACTGCCAATTCCTATCATATTCCTGTGATTCAGAGAAATAACTATAGGGCGATGACAAGCCAGTCTCAAACTAGGAAGGAAGAAAGGCTGTATGCCTTTCCCCAACTCTTCATCAGTTTTGATTCTGTAAGGAGACAGAGAAGAGACTGTGCATAGACTGCAAGAGAAGAAGTCTAGAAAACACCGAGATTGTCAGGAAAGGATTTATTTCCTGCAATAGGTGCGTCCCACACTTGCTGTGGAGGCTGGCAAGAAGCATCCTCTAGTTCCTGTGGGGATTTAGGAGATAGACACCACTCAAGTGTGGGGCAGGCTGCCAAGGAGGACAGGGGAAGGCCTTCGAGCATGCCTGTAGCCTGGTTTGTGGTGGTTCCTACGGGGGGGAGCCGAGCTGATCCCTTTGCCTGGGCTATTCTGTGAGGGTGTATGACAGCCCCGGAAAACCAAAAGGACCGAAGTCCAAAAGGTCAGGGCTAATGCTGCCGGCTGTGCCACTCTGGCCTCTAACAGCGGATACTGAGCCCCGTCGGGCAGACCCTTCCCGGCCCTGAGGCGGGGAGCAGGGGATCGAGCATCCCGCGGCTCACCCTCTCCCTCCTCACGCCGGCCCCGCCCGCGGATCCCCCGGGGGTGGCGTGCAGGGAAGCCGGGGCCGCGACGGGAACCCGGACAGCTCCAGCCGCCGTCCCACAGGGCGCCTGCCGGCAGCCGCCCGAGGGGGAAACTTTCTGCCGGGCCGGCTCAGGACAGGGCCCCGCGGGCAGCCTCCGGCTTCGCGCGGCGCCGGGAAGGGACAGCGGCGGTGCCACCGCCCCGGGAGCACCGCGGAGCCGGGCGGGTCCCGGGATGGGAGCGTGTTTGGGAATAGAGCCCCGCCGCGGCGCGGAAGAAGGTGGGGAGAGCCCGGGGTTCGTCCTGGGTGTCGAATATTGTGCAAACTCCGGCAAATGGGACTTTAGCCCTCCAGCCCCAGTGCAGAGAGGAGAGGGGCTGAAGGGAGGCGAGGGGAGCGCAGACTTACCAAGCGTGGAACACTGAGAGGAGGAAGAGAACCGGCAGGAGCTTAGCGGACATGGTCCGGACAGCGCTGGCCAGGTGAGAGGTGCGGCAGGATGAAGGAAACGTTGCAGAACGTTCACATGGAAGGGAGAATGAGGCAATGAGGTAAAGGTCTGAGCCTCTCCTCTTCTGTATTCTCAGCTTAATACCCTGAAGAAAACACTCTCTTCCACAGCGCTCCGAGAAGGGAGGGGGGGGGGGAGAGTAAAAAAAAAAAAAAAAAAAAAGAAGAAAAAAAAAAAAAGCAGAAGAAGTGAAACGATGGGGGAAATCCCCAGCGGAGAGGCCAGGTATAAATCAGGCTCCGCGGGCTGACAGGTGCTCAGCGGGCACGGAGCTGCGGCGCGTCCCCTGTGCGGGCAGCCAGCTGCGGGGTGCAGCGGCGCGGCCCCTGCCGCTGCCCGGGCTGGCGCTGGCCGTGCCCCCCGGGCGGTGCACAGCGCCGAGCAGCCCGGGCCCCGCCGGGCCGCGGCTGCCGCGGGGCGGGCCGGGCCGGGCCGGGCCGGGAGGGGGGCGGGCAGGGGCGGGGGGAAGGGGCGCACCTTGCCCCCCCCGCGGAGCGCCTGCCCGCAGCCAGCCCCGCAGCGCGGCACCGGAGCGCTGCCGGGGACCGCCCCGCATCGGAGAGCGCCTCGTCCCCGCTCCCTGCCCAACAGGTTCCCGCCTCGCCGGCAACTGGAGGAGCCGGGAAGTGAACCCTGCCCCCGCCCCAGCGGGCGCACACACACGCACACAAGAAAGGGGGAGCAGCGAGCCCGGCAGCCGCAGTCAGTCGGCAGCCGGGACTTCTCCCCGACATCACCAGCCCGATGCCCCAGACAGGATGGCCGGTGGAAGGATCCCCGTGATGTTTTGCGGGATGCCCTCACGCTCAAACCCCACAGCCGAAAGTCCCCCCGACCGCCCGGGGCTGGAGGTGCTCTCTTCAGAAGGAGGGAGAGGGGTCGGGCGCTGGTCTCGGGGTGATCGGAGCGACGGGCATCCCGATGTACACACAGGCGCAGATCCGTGTAACCGGTGCGGCTGCTTACATGGACAGCTAGGCAGTGTGTTTCGGTATCTAGGTGGAAGTTTGCATGCACTGTACGAATGCATGAATACACATTTATATGCACAAGGTATGCCAGAAAAAATGTATACACGGAGAAAAAAAGAGGTCTACATGATCCTGTAGAGCAGGTTACATGGACTTATGTGTACATTGTGAACTTTGGAGTAAATTAGGTTTTTCTGCTGTGAGAACTCGGAAATGAGATAACAATCAAGTGTATTCAGGGCAAAATTAGTTTGGGTTTGGACAAGCTTTGTCTTTCTACTCCAGTAGGAACAGCACAGAACTGATTTTTAGCGACTTCAGTTCTCTTCAGGTGTGTGGAGCTTTGCACCGGGCATCAGGGTAATCGGAATATTCCCCTTTGTTTTCAGAATGAGGAGTGAAAATTTCACTTACGTAATGGTAATTTGAAAACAAAAACCTATGCCAGAAGTACAGCGAGTACTTTCCTGTGATCAGAAATCTCGGGAGTGCAAATCTCTGTCTCCTTTTCCCTTACACATAACTTCCATGTTCTGGAGCACTCGTTTTTAACTGTTTAATAGAAAAAAAAAAAATCTTCTAGAAGATGCAGTCTTGCTTCTGGAATAACACCTACATTATGCCTAGAAGAGCTAGCTATAGAGAGTTCTGTTCCCGAGTAAATTTTTGACGGAACGACACAGCTTAAGGAAAATCTGTCGTGAGTCAGGCAATTAACTCTCAGTTATTCACTTTAGGGATTTTCTTTCAGCCTTTCGGGTTCTGTTGGGTTTTTTATTTCCAACCTAAACGCCTCTTTACTAGATTATATAGCAGTGTTTACTTTGTCTAATTGCAGTTACCGTGAATTGCTAATAATCATTTGTTACAAGGCTTGTGCTCTTTTCTGTCACCAGCAGAGAAATGCGGGTGGAAGCCAGGCCGCCTGCTGCCCTGAGAAAATGAGGGAGGGAACCGACGGCGACTGCTCGGGAGTTGCCCGGATTTCACCGGGAATAGCTATGCCGACGGTCAAGCAGCAGCACGCCGATCCGCTGGTGTGAAGCCTGCGGGAGCACCGGCGTTGCGGGGCGGGCGGGAGGCGGGACGGGCGGACAGGGGGAGCCGCCGCCTCCCAGCGAGCCGAGAAAGTCCCGCCAGCGCCGGGGAGTCCCGGCGGCAGGGGTTTGGTATCGCCGCACGGCCACGGACAGCAGGCACTTGAAGGTTTCTTGAAGGCTGCTGCTTATGCCAACATCATTTAGGGCTCCCAGTGCCCATGTCCCGGCTCGCAGCGCCCGCGCGCTTGGAATGCAAGGAAAGGAAGCGCCCGTCATGCAAGGAAGTGTTTCCCCTGCGCTGGCTATATAGAAAAATGTGTGTATTTACACGGACACTCGAATAAATAAAAGCTTGGCCCGGCCTCGGCAACCCTGCCCAGCAGCGCGAAGAGCTGGGGCGGTGCTGCAGCATCGAAGGCTGAGGGCCGGGGGAGCTCGCATCGCTACCAGTGGGATGGAGCGGCTGGGGGCCGCCGTGCCTCTGCCACCTCCCGGGTGGGCGGCACGAGTGAGCCAGATTGTAGGCAGCAGAAAGACCCGGAGGAGAGACAAGCCGGCGGCGATTTACGATGAGAAATGGCGAGGGCAGGTCCAGCTCCGCATCCCCGCTCTCGGGGACCCCCGTGCGGGATGGGAGGGAGCCGGCAGAGGCTTCCCCGCCGCGGCGGCTCCGTCGGGCACCGCTCCGCCTCTTCCTCGCCCGCCAGCCCCATCCCGCCCTCAGCGCATCCTGCCGCGGTGCCGGGATCCTCTGGCGGCGGCGGCGGGAAGCGCGGGGGATCGGGCCGGGTCTCCCACCCCACGCTGCCTCCAGCCGGCGGCAGAGCGCTCGGTTACCCCTGAGCCGTGAACGGAACTCTCTGTGACCATCGAGTCACTCAGACCTCGAGAAAGACCCTCATAGTGTCCCCTCTTTCCTTGCAGAGTGTCAGAAATTCCCAAGGCTCGATCGGAGCAATATGGTACATCGATTATTAACTCCTTCTTCTCAGACCGTAGGAAAAAAGGTGATGCTTAAGGTTTTTTTCCTGTTGTCCTCGGCGTGTTAATGCCAAAGGTATACTTTAGCATCACTCTTCATTACACCTCATGCCTCGTTCATTTCTGCTCCTCCTTTTCATACTCACATCCTCTTATTTTACTTTTAAGCACACTCTCTGCCTTTGCTGAACCTTTCAAGTTGTATATTCAGGTAAGGGTCATGATTATCCAGCACAAGTTTTAACAAAAGAACATTTAATCATGCTATGTAATTATAGCATAATTATTTGTGCCATGGCTAAAATGATGATGTTCTCAGTAATATTCTTCAGCACAACAAAATGCATCCACATTTTAACTTACCTGCATTGCACTTTCACAGAGGGCGACTCTATTTTCAACCTGAGGGATACCTCTGTGGTATGTCCTGTGCAGTGGAGAAGCATGGGTCTCTAAAAGTAGCTGTGTAGGGAGCTAGCTGGCATAAATAAGGGGGGAAATGCCAAAGAAGGGAATGGGACTTGTGGATCAAATTCCTCACTTGCTAGAACTGGGAGCCCCATCTCAAGCACTGAATAGTTTGGGCATCTGAATTTTCTGAGATGCAGTGGGAAGGAGAGCCCTACTGGTGGTTTTCCTGGCACCCCAGGGCTACCTATATACCATGAGAAGCACAGAAGGGAGCTGGGGCTGCTCTGAGACAAAGAAGGAAGGACCTGAAATCCATATCCTACAGATCCTGGAGTCCTCCAGCTGAAGGCTTATTAGAAACTTCTAAGAGGCTTGAGCCAGCTGTTGCTCCTGCTGGAGCCTTTAGGTAGGAAGTTGAATCCCAGAGGTCCTGACAATTTCTGTGTGCTCTCAGTTCTGTCCTTCAGCACAGGGCTCTCTTCTCTCTGGCTCATGGGCAGGACAGGGAGAATTCCTCCTGATGCTGCTACGCTGCAGCTTTTCAGCAACTTCGTGTAGACTTCTGGAAGAAGCATGGACATCCAGGGCAGGCAGGGCCGCTCCTCTGGGGCCAGGCCACCCTTGAGCAGCTGTCCTGAGAACATCAAAACCACCAACCCCCAATGAATGAAGAACTGAGCCCAGATCCACTGAGGCCTAACTGCCTTTGATGGCTGGATCCAACATTTATTATAATTTATGTGTTAAGTTATAGTGGGTGGTTGCCCTATTTGTAATAATTTTCCTACCTATAAATCCAGCCTATCATTGTTAGTACAGTCCATTGCAATCTATCAGGATTTCTCAAAACTCCAAATTCATCTAACTGAAATTAGTTGGTATCTTCAATCAATATTCTTACTTTTTACTTCACTTTTAGCCAGGGACTAATTTAAGCAGCAACTTTTAAGACATTATGACTGTGAGAAGTGATAATTGCTTTTGAGGATGGCACGGAAAATGAAATAATACATTACAGAATGGAACGCTTACACTTCAGTCTAAATTAGGGGTAATCCTTGGAAGATCCTTCAGAAGTCCTTCGGGCTTCAGAAAATCTAACTTCCAATCTTTCTATCTTCTCAAAATTGAACAAATGTCTATAACAACATAGTGGAAGTTGCAAAATTGGTAAAGTAAGGATGCCATCTGAGAGTCACCATGCAATGACCATACTTAAGCATTTGTAGTGACATAAAAACATAGGAAAAGTTAGAAAGGACTCAAGCAATTTTATCATTTCAGTGTCAATTCCAATCTGAGAAGCAAGGGTAATAGGGAAATACATCCTTATTACAAAGAACTTTATCTCCAGATTTAAAAAATCTGCAAGCACTACATTTCTCCTCTCTACATAAAATGAAAAGCAAAATAGTTTCATTAATTTTTCTTCAAAATTTACCTTAGATGTTGATCAAGTATTTTTGAAAGATGAGATTATTTCATAAAATCATTACTTCCTCAGTTTTGTATAAATATGTTCAGTTATTCCACAGAGGGCACATTCCATTTAGAAAAAAGCTGAACACAACTCAAGATAACAGAAGAGGCTTCAGTTTTAGAACATACACTGTTGCTTAAATTCATCCTTGAAGTAAGCTGGCACAGCTCAAATATCAGAAATTAAAAATCTCTTCCATTGTATTTGACTTGTTCTTTCATTTATAAGGGATGTAAGGAAGGAAATTTGGCAGCAGCCTGTACAAACTTCCCCTATAGTGCTGAATTGTTGTAATTCACTTCTCAACTCTTTTTTCATGAAAGCATACGTGAAAAAATCAATGAGAAGCAATTCCTATTTATTACTCCCTGTGGCCATGACTAAGCTGTGAAGTAGCTGTGTCCTGCAGGGTCCTAGTTCATCCGTGCTGGGGACAATGAACAGCTTACTGCATTCCCAAAAGCCCACGCTGCTTCCAGGGGATACCAGAGGAAGTTGATGCACATCCAGACACCACCCCACCCTGGGGAAGGACAAAGCCAAGATGTCGTGGTTGAGCCAGGACCTGGAAAATGCTCCCATGTCCCACAGTTCAGATAACATCTCAGTGAGTAGTGATCTTCCACACACACAGTTCCACTGACTGTGGAGAGATGTAAATTGTGAGGCAGGATATAATGCAAGGCAATAGCATTTAAGTATTCCAGCCTGGAGTGTATTGGCCTATTGAAGCATCTTCCAGACTATGGGACACCTAGTGTTCATGCACAAGCATACGCTGCAGGTAGACCCATATTTGTTGAAGATTACCTTCCATGTAAGTAAAATAGAGTAGATTTAGAGATCCTTTCACTAAGTCCTGCAGTAAAGACGAGGAAATGATGCTGTAATACAGAGTAAGAGTCAGACTTGGGTGTAAGCAGATAAAACAAAGTACAGAAATTCTCTGGGGAGTTTCTCCAGAACTGGCCTGAAGAAGATGCTACTCAAAGACGGCTCTGAGTTTCTCATTCACAAAAACTCATTCATGTAATTCTTCGAGTTTCTCACCTGATGAAATAGCCAAGGGATTTATTTATAAAGTTTTGCCTTGCAATAAGCAGTGCAATTTTTCATAGTTTTTGATCCCTGAAGGGCCAAAGGAATCCCCCAAGGGGATGATGAACAAGGAGATGTGCAGCTGCTCAAAGACACAGAGGCATGCAACATGAAAATAGAGATCTATATCTTCACCTCAGCTCAAGCTAGCACTGAATAGATGAGTGTGCCCCCTCCCTTGCTCCTGTTTATCAGAGTACTGTCACTTGTTCCATCCCATGGCTTCTCTATTGCCCCCAAGAGTTTATGAATTTCTCATTCCACAGAATCAAACAAAATGCTTCAAAAAACAATAGACATATGAGATTTTTTTCTTGGCAATTTTTAGGAATGAAAGGGTTGAAGAGAAGACACAAAAGAAGCCAGAGAGCTCCCCATTTCCAGACCAGACCCTCACCTCAAAGCGAAGCATGAGCTCTCCCCTCTGTCCCCAAAAGTTCATGGGATTGTTGCTCCATTGCAAGATAGCACCAAATTCTGCAACAATTCGATTCACTGTGTTCACTCAAGGCATGTCCCTTTCTGGGCAACAGGGAGGATATGTCATGTGTGCACACAAGATCAAGTGCATGCATGTGTGCTTTCCAGTTAATTCTTCAGCTTCTGTGGTATGCTCTTTTGTCTTTCTGAAAGGACAACCCATATAAAAATGACATTTTGCAATCAAATGTTGAATGCATTTTTTATTTAAACATTAAGATTTAATTACAAAAGCTTCTGGAACAATTAAAGGATGCCAAGGAGGAAAGAGCTGAAAACTCAGACTGCATTTTCTCATTCATTGTGAAAGCTAAACACATTGTCAGCAGCAAGGCGTTTTATAGAAAAGTTTCAGATGGACAGTACAAAGACCTTTCTGTCAATATTGTCACTGAAACACCTTGCTGTCATGAAGCACATTTTTTTTTTCTGATCACACTTTCTAGTGTTGGCTGATTGATTTTTGCAGTGGGAAACGAGTAATAATTATTGCAGATTTACTGTAATTCTTTTCTGCTAATCTCTGCTGATATAACACAGTCTTCTTCTTGGAAAAATGTCCAAACATAATTTACTTTACCCTGATAAAAATGTCTAGTGCTGTTGATAGAAGTTTTATTTGCACAAATATGTTCCTAATCTATGTTAATTTCATGCAATATAATTCTTAATTTTTGGAATAAATACTGAGAATCATTAGAGATAATTCTTTGGAATGCAAAATCCAAACAAACTTTGTATTTTCATTTAAGGGCAAGATTCTATCATCTTTATTTACATAAGTAGCATCCTGCTCCCTGTGTTATTTCACTGCAAACTAGAGTCTCAAGCAGTGAAAATCATCATAGTCCCTTTAAGATTTACTGCATTGTATTAAACTTTCAATGAAAATTGGGCTGAGCAATTTTGTCTATGGAGTAATGCAGTACCTGTAACTGGTAAAGGTGCTCAAACATAGCCCTACACTTAATAATTTGGCACATTTACAACTGGCGTTACTCAGTAACTTATCAGATGACAATAGTGGAGCTCTTCTGTAAAATATAGGTTAAGCCCATATTTGTATGACTGTACATCTGAAGTATAAAAACCACGATATGTAGTACACTCGAACAGTTAAAAAATATAACTTATTTTATTTGTAAACTATCAATGCAAGATACTCAGCAGCAAAGAAGCCATGTTCAATGTCTTCTGATCTTTTATAAAGATCTGTTGCTGTAAGTAATATAATCGTCTCCAAAACATCTGAGGTTACATGTAGAAACAATCAAGGCAATATTATTTGTACATATTATTAAACATGCAAAAAACTTCCTGAAGAATATTGCCCAAACGTAGAAAGTCATCTGGATCTCAAATTTTCCTTGGTAGCATCTGCTTTGTAAGTATGGCTCACATGTGGCTCCAGAGTACTTCAGTTTATTTTGGAGAATTGGCACCTTTAATAACAGGCTCCCTATTCAAATATGTGGCCCAGTAAACTAAGTTAAAAGTTCCAAACAGCACTGGAAAAATTATCCGGGACATTTTGTCAATCTTACTGATGCTGTTGTAAGTCTTTTTGCTTTCAGGAGGCTTTTCTTCTGCAGGCTTCACTGGAGCAGATGTAGTGTTTGAGATGACAGCTGGGGCTGAGTCCTTTGGCATGTTTGGTGCAGGAGTCATCTTCCCGGTGCTGTATGTATTAGTTGGTTTATTTCCCAGCAAGTTGCGCTCTTTTTTCTGCAGCGTAAAGAACAAAATGTTACACCACAAGAACAGAAAGTGGAAACATGTTTGCAAGAGACTCGCCCAAAAAGCTGAGCACCATAATCAAGCATGCCCATTAATGTCTGTTGACTATTCAGTCTTTGATTATGAAAGTCAGAATCAACAAATTCAGTCATCAAACAGATGTTTTTCCCTTGATTTTGTAGTCCATGCTCAAATGTGACTGTTCCTCATGGGAGAAAGCTGAGACTCGCTGGCTGGACCCACATCCCACCTGGCAAATGCATTAGCAGCTTCTTTTGTCAGTGAGATGTGGTCTGGCATCTGAAGAGGGTGCTGCACCAAGGACAGCTGACAAGATGGGAATCTCATTTCCTCAGCTTCTGCAAAGAGTGTGGGGAAGGGTTCACTGCCCCTGCCAGCTTGACCTCTTTGTAGGCTCTTTTGGGATGACTGTGGGTATGAGCTCTCTAGGAGATGACTTATTAAGAGTTAGTCCTAACCCAAAAGTTTAATTTCAGCATGAAACTCAAAAGTTTGTGTTTTCACAGAACCAGTCTTTGGTTCCTTTTTTTTACTGTGGTGGGACGCTGACTCATGAAGCTCAGTGTGAGCATTGTTATTTATTTAGGAGAGGATACAGGGACTGCTCTACAGAGATATGTTTCATGATGTATGTCCGCTATTATCAGAAGTCTGATCACTGAAATCCTATGTCCTGTGTACTCGATGCCCAATGTGCTTCTATAAGCAGTCTCTTCATACAGATCATGGGGACTGATAGACTATCTCTGTGAAGGGGAGACACCATATTTCCTTGAAAATTTTCCTCTACAGGAAGGTATGTCATGAGGAAATGAAATATCGTTTTTACAAAGAAGCTGAAAATTGACCCTTCAGTTATTTAAACTATACTGATACCTGCTTTTTATTGTAGGTATTTAAAAAATATAAGTTAAGCACCTTGATTTTTGCAGCTTCCTGGGCTTTTTTGCCATCCCATGCCCAACTCCTCTTGGTGAAATAGTTGACTGTTGCAAATTCAATCAATGCCGAAAATACAAAGGCATAGCAAACAGCTATAAACCAGTCCATTGCAGTAGCATAGGCCACTTTTGGCAAAGAGTTACGGGCACTGATACTTAAGGTGGTCATGGTGAGGACTGTTGTTACTCCTGCAAAGTAAAAAAAATGAGTCAGAGATCAGTTTGCTAACCCTTATGGGATACCAAATGAGTGAGCAGGTCCCAATTCAGCAGGATACCTAAGAAGGCCACATGAAGTCAATCAGTGTTTGCATATCACAGTTTGAAAGAATATGAAAAAATGAAAGCCTTCATGCTCAGATGTTTTATTCTATGGAGTTCTGGTTAATTCTGGCTGTAGTGCATTTAAATAAGGATTTATAAGGTAACACAAGCCCAAGGTTTATAACTGTCAGAATGAAGTGAGATTACCTATTTTGTTTTCTTATACAGAGATTGTATGTTTAAAATTGTTGACTGTTACTGGTTTCCTTGACTGTAGCTCCTCCTTTCCCATATGACAGTAAATGACAAAGAGCCAATGCTTTCATCTGTGGGACTATTTCCCCAAAATAAAAAAACTCACCTCTCAGTTACAGCTTTGTAAACTTAGAATAAGTCAGCAAAGTGATGCTACTGCCTGTATTCTCTCAATACAACTTGCTGAGCTGATTTTTTCACAAAGCCGCCAACTGAATTCAGGGGGATGGTACAGAAGACTGATTCCTTTCAAATAGCTGAAAAAAGTTTTACTTAATAAACTGTTACCACTCCCCTTGTTTTTCATCTGGTAAAAATCTTGTAATTCATCAACATTTGCTTGAGGAAGTGCTTATTTTCTGCAACCTTCTAGGGATAACCCAAGTAATTTAATGACACCCAAAAGGCTTTTTCCATAACAATTTCTTCAGAAAAGATACATTTTCTAAATGCAAAGTCATATTAATTTGTTTGATGGTAATAGAGATAATTGTCACTAATTAACCTCCACATGGTTTTCCCAGATAAACATCCTACAACAAAGATAAACAAAATGTCTTGAAGTGATATCTGCTTCAAATGCTTAGCTTGGGTATACATTAAATATGATAATCCGTATGTCTTATTTTCTAAACCATCCAGCATCCACCAAAGTAGAAAAAACCCAAAACAAATCACACTAATCTTATTCTTCCATCTTCTGTCCTTAATTTTCACATAACCGATTGGCCAATTTCTGTCATAACTTTACAAAAACAACGCAGACAGGGCTTTTAAATTGATTTTGAGTTTAAACCAGAAGAGAATGAGAAAACATTTGCAACATATCAAGCAGAAATAAACAATTTCTGGGGTTTTATTACAGCAAATCACTTCCACAAGCCACAAATATCCTATCTGTGTTCTAGGAGAAAGTGGGATACTCACCAAAGACAGTTCTAGCAGGGACAGATTCTCTGTTTAGCCAAAACGACACTTGCGATAAGATCACAGTCATAATGCAAGGAAGGTATGTTTGGATGACAAAATAACCAATTTTTCTTTTCAGATGAAAATGGGCTGTCATAATAGTATATTCACCTAGAAGAAGAAAAATGTGCATTTGAGTAAAATAAGGAAGGCTTACTGATTTAGGGAATGAACGAGACCAATTCCAACCCCCCATTTGAGGACATTACTCAGCCATTCTCAATTTCATAAAAAACGTCTGGATTTCTGTCCTGTGGAAAACCAATACTTGAGACAGAGGTGCTGCTAGATCCTCACAGTCTTCACATTCAGTCTCCAATGCAGAAGACAATGACTGCTATTCCTACTACACTGTAAAGTTGCAGTCCTCCTATGCACCTGGAATGTTGTGATGTTCACAGGCTTAAAAATCTGCTTTGCTGGCACTGCCTCAACACCGGTTTTGATTCAGTCCTACAATTTCTTGTAGCATAGTAACAATTAAGGCCCTCAACTCTTCAAAACCTGATTTAGCAGCAGGTCTAGCAACCTCATTAGCGAAAGTGTTACAGCCAAGCCGTCAGTTTTCAAATATGAAAATGACACTCCTTCTGCACCACATTTAGGGCTTGTCAGTCCCAGCATCTTCTGCGAGAACTGCCACTTTTCATATAGATCCTGGGATGTTTTATTAATCTGAGTACCCAAACCTTTCACACTGCTGGTCCAGAAAAAAAAATGTCCCTCTACTGCATGCAGTGTTCCTAGAATTTGGCACACTTTAGCCCTTCAAAATATTATCTATTGCTGGATGGATATTGTGTCCTGTCTTGTTCACCAGTGCAATGAATATTGTACTGCTTTCATGCAGAGTTCCCTAAAAGCTGCCACAGCAGTGCTAAATTCCATTTCTTTTTCATATGCCAAATTCATAACATTGCCTTAATATGCTGTTTATCGGCTCCTCTGAATTTCAATAAAAGCCTAAATAAATGCACTCAAAAATCCACAGACCAGCTGTCACCTTCCCTAATGTTTCATAAAAAATCAAACCTTAACCAGTTCTTTCAGATTGTTCCTGGAAAACCATATAGTTGTTACTGAGGGCTACTCCTGGTGGTAACTGCTTCCTGGTTATTTGTTGTTATCGAAAGTTATTCATGATGATAACTGCTCCCCAAATCCAAAATCTTGCTAGCTAAAAGCATGCTACTATTTTCCTAGGAATAATAACAGTAAAAACAAAATATAACAATAAAAAGCGATCCATCCCTTCACACCCTAACAGTTCTTTACTGATGTCAAAGAAATTTAAAAGCATTCATCATTCAGTTGCGTACTGATGAATCAGAGAAATGCCTGTTTTGAAATATATATTGTCCTTCAAGAACAACTATAGCAATAATCTCTGTTGCAAGACTTGACTGTTAGTCTCTACAGAACATCCACAAAAGGAAAATATTCAAGGCAGACTGATTCTGCCTTGAGTGAATAGCTCCAAGTTGAGCTGTTAACAGCATTACTAAGCCATTAGATTTGGCAGATTACTTCTAACTGACAATATGGCTAATTAGCAGAGAAGAGGTTTACAGTGAAAGGGTTTTTGCAGGTATAGCTGCACTCATACACTGTGCTACAGGAGCTCTGCTATTCTGCATCAAGTTTACAGACCTTGTTTATGATGAGGATTTTAGAAAACAAAATAACACAGAAATACCTTAACTGACATCCTGTCTCAATCTTTATGTCTTTCTCTGGAAAGACATAAAGATTTTCTGGTGATCTCTGATTTTATGGTGAAACGGTTCCCTGAAGAGTGATGTGGAAATGGACATGGAATGCTGTGAAACTGGGGAGGAAACCCCTGCGAAGAGAAACCTAATTCCCTTCCATTTAGTGTAGTTTTGAACCAGGGAGGCTGAACACACAATGGTCTCAGGAGGAAGCCCACTTGCTCTTTATTAAGGAGTATTTGCAGGAGGGTCTGCCTGCCTCAGTAATCTCAGGCAGAGAGACTGTTTCTCAGTTGCTACTGCACTGGGATGTGTTTGAGTCACAGTTTCCCCGCTCGCTACGGAGTGACAATGTGCATTATCGATTTTGACAGTATGCTCTCAGAGCTGGAATAAAAAAGGAATCTACACAGCTTCAGAAGAGCAACAGGACCCTCTTTTTTCATTTTAAAAACACAAAAAATGACTGCCTACATTCTGATGGCCCTCCACAGCTGATTTTTACCTTACCATTTTCTTTAACCTATCAAAACTCTTGACTCCACTGAAATAATCACAGCACCTTGATTTTGTACTTGCTCTTCTCCCAGCTGATATATTCTTTGATTTCCCATGCTGTCCCTTTCAGAGATGTCTATACTAGAAATACTTCCTCCAGTAGACTTAGGGCTTAAGAAAGCCCCACAGCTTGGTTTTTAATGCCCTGGGACCGCTGCTTCAAGTAAGGCTAAAAGCTGCCTGAGTTGGCCTTTAGTTTATAAACAAGATACTGGCTCTGTTGGAGCGGCAAAGCTCCCTTTTACTTCTGTAAGGCCACTGTTTATCCTCAGACCATAAGCTTTCTTGAGCAAGAGCTAATTTTTGTTATAGGTTTATGTAGCACTTAAAAGAGGATCCTGTTCCTGATGGGGTCCACTCATCACTGCAGAAAACAAATTATTGTTAGTAAACAAAAACAAATCTAGTACTAATGAAAAGCCCTAGAGCAGAAATGGCTGCACTTCATGGAGCTATGCTACTGTGCAGCTGCTTTTAAAGGGTTTTTTATGCTTTAAAAGCTGCTACAGTTTGTTTGGTTTTTTGGGGGTTTTTTGGTTTTTTTTTTTTTTGGTATCTAATAGATGGTGTTTGGAGATCAGGCTTACAGATTTTCCAGGATCTTACACACATTATTCCATTGCCATTATGCTGAGATTCAATTGAGTACTTTTAGGAGGCTAGACCAGGCCCCAGGCTTGTTTGTTTACTGGATATACCTGGACTCAGTTCTATCAATGGCTGTTCTGGCAAGATCCTGACATTAGGTACATTAAATACCTCCCTGGCTATGCTGACATCCAGTATATTTTGGCCCGTAAAAAATGCACATTCCCTCTTATAGTGATACTAGAGAAATATTCATCTAAAGAAAAAAAATCTGAATTACTTGGTTCAAAATGAAGAGCTGAATGATTCTTTTATTATTTAGGCTTTGGATATTATGGAGCTCAGGCTCCAGCTGGCAGTATACAAAAGAGTGGGTTTATGTTTTGTTTTGTGCCACTGCAGAGCCTAAGTTAGCTATGAGAGATTCTGGGTATGGAGAAAATAACTGGGCAACCATTTGTGGAAAGAACAAGATCCACTTGGATTCAAATTTCATAGCTGATTGTTTTCAGCACTTTTACCACCAGGACATAACAGATGTTGGTTCTGTTAGAAGCAGTGTGGGCAGTAAAATGTCATTCTTTCAGGTGAATAACATTTGGGGATGTTAGAACAAAAACCCCCAAATAACAACAACAAAAAAAAATCTATCACAGCCAAAAAAAAAAAAACCTAAAACAACATCCTAACAGGTGGCACATGACAGAGCTGTTTTTTGCGCCATGGCTAAAATGTTCCACGTTTCAAGATTGGTTGGAGAATTATGAATGCCAGGGTATTTTTTTCTGAGAAGTCAGCCAAACAGCAAATCAGCAGAATCCCAAGGAACCAGTATGGGTCTGGAACTTCCATTTTTAAAAAAGTCTGCTAGAAGGAAGGGCATAAATGACCTATGACAGACACAAACATTTTGTCTATGCAACTGCAAGGGCTGTGTAGCTTGACTTGTATGTCATAAAAGCCACAAAATATCTAAGCACTTGGATTATGCAACAACTATTTGGTTTTTCTTTTCCACGTTCAACAATTCAATAGAAGGAAGAAATGCCTTAGATGGCCATTCGTAAGTAATGCTGATTACTGGCCTCCTACGAGCTTGATGAACTCCAGAAAATCCATGGGTGACTGATGCTTTCCCTGTGCAAAATCGGATTTTTGTATTTTGCTAATCCCCGGTTACAATCTGTGTCCTGCTCTTTGTGATCCACCCTGCAATCAGAATCCAGCCAGCCCAGATGTAACCCAGGACATTAATATAAAATCTTGATGTTGGCAACACAGCATTTATTATAAATCTTAAATACGTGAGGGAGGTGTTTACTGTGTGGAAACTTTGGGATTGTCTGCAGTGTTTCCTTGGGCTGAGGAGTACAAGGAGCTTTCACAGGCAAAGCGGCAAACTGGAAGTGGCCGGGAGCTGACACGCTGGAGCACTCACTGCCTGGGCTGGATGGTTTTCTTGCTCTGAGGAGTAGGACGAGGTTGTAGGAGATGCTCCAGTACATCCTTTGGATCTTTTTCTTGGCAACAATGAAGGCGAGAGGGGAGCTGCCATTCATTGCAGAAAACAATGCGGCTATGATGGTGAACTGGTAAGGAAAAAAAGTGTCTTTACTCTTTAATGGGAGATAGTGTACTCACTCTTTTTCTGCAAAAGTGACCACTCTGTTTATATGTTTCTCTTGACTTTATGAATCTTCACTTTAGTATCAGCTTTGTGTCTCCTGAAATTGGCAAGGGAGGGGGCGAATGTCTATAGGATGGAGATGGCAGTCAAGTTAAGTGGCTGCCCAAGGCAAGCCTTCTCTTACTTTGTGTTCTTTCTGGAGTATAGGCAGCAAGCTCAGATGTCTCCTCTTTTATTTGCCAGTTGGAGCACAAAATTTTATGCATCTTTATGTTTCGGTCCAACTAAAGTTGTGTGGAAGTTTACATGTATGTACCTGTTTTCATGTCTCGTAAATTTCCTACCGATAGTAAAAGGTTCCTGATTTAATCTATACTTTGTCCTCTACCACTCTGCCCATCATTTTTCTCCAGGGACACAGTGTATCACCAGCACACTCTGTTGGACTTTGCCTGCAGGAATTGCCCCCAGGCATGTTGCCACAGGCTGCCCCTTTCCCCAGCCCAAGCCCCTTGCAACCACCAGCAGTGGAAATCCCCCTTTTCTTCATGGCAGGCTATTCAATTCCCAGCTCTCCCCCCTCCCTTTGCTGGATGCCACTAATGCTCTCCAGCCCAGCGCATTGTGTAACCTGGTGAAGCCCCGGTCCTGCTGAGCGCACGTGATCCCTTGTCCCGGCCTCGACCCCCCCGGGGTCCCCCCCCCCCAATGCACACCCAGGGCTGCCCTTTGCGTGGGAGCCTTAAGCAGCAGGGGGGCACAGCTCACGTGGATGCCCGGCCTGGGATTAAAGCTTCTTTGCCTCCCTAATGCTGCCACATCTGGCGCCTCCGCTTCCAGCCCGGCAGGGAATGGGGATCCTCGGGGTTTGCACCTCCTCTCCGGCCCCGTGGTCCCCCGGACACGCTGCAGAGCCGTGCCATGCCACAGTTCCCCCCTGCCCCCCCCCCCCCATTCCCTTCCCCCCACGCAGTTCCATCAAGCAATCATTTTAAAGCGAAGATTGAAACGGATCAAATGCGTGGGTGGCGTTTGCCTCGCAGGGTGGCTCCTCCCACGGGGAAATAAGCCCGCAACAGCGCTGGCAGCCACAGCCAGGGCAATCGCCAAGAAACTGCGTAAGCCTTCTCAGGCACTCCTGTAAATACCGCGATCTTGGATGTATCTTCAGCCACAGCCTTGCAATGTACCTAAGAGCTAGCATTTAACTCTCTCAGTGTTTAAATGCCTCTGCTAAGTGGCCATGAACCTGCACGGGATCTCCCTAGCACTCCACATCCCACAGGTGCTTCCCTAGCCTTACTGCAAAGTAACCAGAGCCTGTGAAGCTCCCCTCCTGCTCCAGCCATCAGCAACCATGGGATGGAAACATTCCCCCTACCTGTACTGGTACTGATGTTTTCCGTGCCCACGGTTTGTCCCATCAGGTGGTACTGGTTAAGTCGTGAGCCATCTTCGGCCACCACCACAGACGTAGTGGTGCTGTTAGTCCACACATAGATCACTTCAGAATTGGGGTAAGCATCTGCCAACAAGGGGGAAAAAAAGACAGTAAGGAGTAAAACTCACTGTGTAATATTTTAGTGGATCCTTAAGTGATAATGACAGGGAGAGAGAAGAATGGAGGAGTGAGAGTGAATGGAGAAAAACAAATAAAGATGATTTAATCAGATTCCCATATGCCCAGCTCAAAAAATATTAGGTTGAAGCCTTCTAATATAAGAGATGTGTGGGATGGTTTGTGAAAGGCTGGAACAGTAGAGGTATAAATATAATCCATCACAACCACTCAATTTGGGAAAGAGCAGTTCAGACCTACACTCACCTCACTGGTGGCTCCTAAACTCCAGCAATATGCAAAAGGTATTTTGCTGAAGTTCCCCTCAAAAGGACTCAGACAACTTGAATGCCAGGAAAACAAGCAGCCTCCACTTCTTGTCCTGTCTCCAGGATAGAATTCTAAGTGATGCCCTGTGCAAGTGCAGGGTCTGGTGTGTATGCACTGACTGGAATGTGTGTGTGGTTGTGGGCATAGGTTCTGCATGTGGGTAAAGGAAGCTGGAACATGCCTGCCTGTGCCTGCGAAGCTGAAGAGCAGACACAGGATGGAGGGGTGAGAATGCATGGAGAGCAGGAATGGGGCAGGGAGATGTGAGGAGAGGGTAAGTGTTTGTGCATAGCAGAATGGGTGGTGGTGCAAAAACACCTGCACAGCTGGGTATGGGATTTCTCTCATGTTCATTTAGAAGTCCTAGGAATTAAATGTGGTTGCAGTACTGCAAACTCATTCATTCCTCTATAACTCTGCTGTAACTTTTAATGCTCCAACACCTAAAGTGATCATAGTATTATAAGGGAATCTCAGTTTTCTTTCTCACACAGTCAATGTTGGGTTTACATTTTAGGTCTTCTCTGCGGATGGTCTCAAAAACCCCAGGAGACAACTCTGTATTTAATTATATTTTATTTAAGTAGCTCTCACACTTTTTAGAACTCCTCTAGCATAGAAAGCTTTCAGGTCACATTCCTGCAAGCATGTTACAGTAGGCTAGAGTACATTGTACTAAAATCTCTGGAAATCAGGCAAGGCTTACTCTCCAAATGGAAGGTGACAAGCAGGTAGACTTGGAAGTGGTCTGAAGTCAAATATTAATATCTCATCTTCTGCACTTTTGAACCTGGAAGATGGGCGTGCAGAATGTTTCTTTCTGGAAAAAAAAACTGACATCCTAGTTCAGGAGACAACACATGGTGGCTTTCCAGATCAGGACTTGAGAGACAAGGACAACAAGGCTAGGTTGAAGGATGAGTAGTCACTCAATCAGACTGCATGTTTTGTTTGCAAATGAGCTGTATTGGAAAGGTGCAGCTCCATGGAGGACTTACAAAAAATTCATAGGCATTGGGTCAACATGAGCTTCTGAGGCATTGCAAAGGCAAGAAATATGGTAAGGTAATCCCTGGATCCATAAAACCAGGAATGTCCAGCAGAAAATGGGAAGCAATCCCAGCTCAAGCTAAGAGCATTTGTGTAGCACAATGAACTTCACTTGAATTCTTGATCAGGTAGCAGGAAAGAAAGCAGCACCTTCTTTGCACTGTTGTAAATGTGACTGTGTTGGGTGTGGGAGGCAGGGCACTGGGCTGGATACACCTTTGCTCTGTTTATGGCTTTTCATTCACAACCCAGAAAATTCATAGAAATTATGAGGACAGAGAGAGGTCAAAAGAAGGTTACAAGTATCTCCAGGGACTGGAAAGTAAGTCATGATTTGAAACTTAAGCAGCTCACTGAGAAAAAACTGAGATGTAGCTCAAGCTCAGAGTATAGACACTTGCGTACAGAAATCAGAAATCAGGGTGAATCTCTTGGACTACTCACAAAAGGTGCCGGAAAGACGGTTCCAGGCAGATTCAGATGAAGAACAGGGCAGAATTTCCTAACTGGGTGGGAGACAGGTAATTATACAGTGAATAACCTTCTGAGAAAAAAAAAAATTATGAACTGCTGTCACTAGGAAGACAATGATAATTTGAAATCTTTTTTTGACCCGTATCTGACAGTTGCTGCTGTATCCAGGGCTGAAACTGATCTTGGGTTTGGAAGCTGAGAATCTACAAATTTTTCATCTTTTGTTAGTTATGCAGGACTGCCCACATGCCTTCCTTATGCTTTTATTTGTAGCTCTGCAGTAAAATTACTGTAATTATATGTCGTGATCTGCTTGGAAAGGCTAAGAAGAAATGTCTTCCCTATTTCAAAATATTTGCACCACAAAGAGTCATGGAATTTCACCTTCCCTTTAGAGCTGAAATACTTTACTATCTCTGAGATGATTATAAGTTCACAATGTACTGTAAATAATTTAAAAGCTGGATCTGGAGAAGACAAGTGGGAGGAGATGGGTCCATTTAAAAAAGTAATGCAAAAAGCCCTCCTTTTTTTAAATGGTATATGGTATATGTTGTTCATGGGCTGATTATTCCCAGGCAATGTGGAATATATTTAGGTAGATTTGGGACCATCATAAAATTTGATTTTTACCTGTTACTTCCTATGCAAAAAAAAAAAAAAAGTTCCTAACAACAACATTGGACTTTTTTATTTTTTTCTGGGATGATCTAGATGTATTTCAATTCAGCACTTCCCTGTCTGCAATGATCCCAACAACCAGGATAATTGGGTTGTTCCTTGTTTTCTGATGATGATATACATTAATTCATCCTGACTAGATGCTTCCCAATGAGAGTACTGTAACGAAACTTGCTGAAATTGCAATCACACAGGAATTTAGGTCTATAAGGTTCAACAAGAATTCAGATGCTTTGGTTCTCTCCTCTGCCTCGCCTGTGGGGCAGGAGAGTCAAAAAATAATTCAACACCTCTGTTGCAAATTGCAGCCTTTACTGGGTGCAAAACACATGCAGTGGAACAGGGTTGGGGGCTCCTAAGCTGCAGGAGTCCAGCATCTCCTCTTGTAAAATACCTTCAACTCAGAGAGAGGCCACAAGGTGCCAAAACTCCAGGCCTCACAGGTATGCCTAAGCATTACTTCATGAGACTGTTTTCTTTTGAAACCATGTTGGGGAAGGGGGGTGCCAATCCCAGGCTGTTGGTGAGAAGAGAGAGCATTCAGGCAGGCAAGGGCACAGCATGAGGCCAGTCCCTGCCTGGGAGGAAGACTCTTGTCTGTAGGTCCTTCCTCACAGGATCTATTGTGAGGCTACAAGACAGAGAGCTGTTGCACTGCTAGGCCAGGCATGGAGTATCCATGGGACAAGTGAGAATAGCTCATCTAGAACAGACTCTTGTGCAGGGCAGGATGGTTATAGTCAGGGCTTTAAGACACAAGAGGATAACAGATGTGTGCCTGAGGAGCCCAACCCAAATCAATGCAACCTGCAGCGATTTTACCTCCTCAGGAGAAGTCTGTCCCACTAGGAATAGCAGGAATTTACTCCAATCTAGATATATTCTATTGTGATGGATCACATATATCATCCTCATCTATCTTCCATGCAAATATAATAAAACATGGTTTGTGTTTTAAGAAGCTCTAATATAAGATTTCTGACTTCATGCCTCCTTTCCTTACAACACATTAAGTTCTGACAGGAAGAAGCCACCCCATACTCCTTGATGTGGCAGGTGACCATCTCTTTTCTGGTCATGTAGATAAACCTCCAGACGGATAAGCCTGTGTACTTTTAGCAGGTCTTCCTACTGCAGTAGCTTATTTAGTAGTCTTCCTACTGCAAACCTTATACCATATCTTCACAGAAGCCTCAAACTCCAGATGTCCCACACTTGACAAACAGAAGCTCCAGCTCTGCAGCTGATAACCCCTGCAGGATAAGTAGGCATGGTCATATTGAAAGCTGAAACTGTGTGTACAGTACAGAATTATAGTATTTTCTATTGGGGTAACAATGCTAATGAAGACACAGTATTATTCACTGTCATACCAAATTTTGTAAAAACACTCTGCCTCTTAAGCAAAGCTTCCAGTAGGTTGCCTACTAGCCTTGCTTGCTGGAGTACTGAACAACTTCAGGTCTTGCTGTTTAGAGATATGAGAAAGGTGTACCAACAAAAGGAAATATGGAAATATCATCTCCTTTATGTTACACACAGGGTGGGGATGTCTCCAAGAGGGAGATAGGAAAATGTAGTTGCAGCTCTGGAATAGCAAGATGAGAAAATTATGCTGGCAGTTTTGCAAAAGCAAACTCAACTTCAAAGCCACTGCAAATCCAAGTGAGACTGCTTGGTGTTTATTCTACTTTAAGCAAGTGCATGTCTTCTGGATTCCTGAATCCAAATAATTAATCTTGTGTTCTTTACAATCATTTTGTTGTCTTGTCAAAGAAAGGAGGAAGACTCATTAAAGCATCCTTTCTCTTCTAGGATCACTTCTTTGAAAAAGGAAGAAAAAGGTAGCAGTTCAGATGAACAGCTAAAATTACAAACAAGTATAATGTTATTATATGTGAGAAAATGACAACAGACATTTATTTCTACTGGACAGTTGATAAATGGCTGCAGGCTTATCACCTACCACAATGATGAAAGAAATATCTTCTCTTATATATTTATTGACAAGCAGATCTATTTTTCCACATTCTAGCAGACAACATACAGCACACAATATAAAAATGGTAAAGGTGTCCCTTGCTCTTCTCCCACACTTTTCCTGCTCCTGTATGGCGGGCAAGGAAAGTCAGACATGGTCTTTCTTATGCCAGTTAACAGTGGGCTGGGAGAGACTACAGCCAGAGAGAAATTACATTAAGAAAAAGTCTAGTAAAGTACAATAGTAAGTGTGTAGGACCTGGAGAATCCCAGGTTTTGCCTAGGCATTAAGGATAGCCCTATTTTCATTTGCAAATGAAACAGTGTGAGCAGTGCAGAATCCTCCCTTCCATTCAAAAAGCAACTCACAAGCAGAGAGTTTTCTCCTGCCACTGCCCCCACCACAGAGAGCAGTGATGGCATCTGACAGACACTCTCCTTCTTGCTTTTCT